ACTGGCAATTAGTAGTGATTACCACTATTTCTGTTACATTATCTGGTCTTGTAAACGTAGCGGGCTCTGCCGCTTGCCGGCCTTAATGGGTAATCTTCTATGTTACGTACGGGGTGAAGAAGGATAGGTTACATGAGACGAAAGGCAAGGTATTTATAACTTCCATGAGAGAAGTGGTTGGTAAACAAAGATAAACATAGTACGAGTATGCGTAGATGATGATATATAGCCGGAGGCGTTACAGACGAAGAGAAGTCTAAAACGTCAGTGAGTATCAAAATTACACCTTGTCAAATTCCGCACCAACGCGAAAAATCATGGCAATTGAGTGGGCTTCTAAGAATCAGCCTGAGCTGTTACGATACTTAAAATATCAATTCACAGTATAAACGTTCGCTGATACAGGGCACTCCTGTACTCGATTCCTATGAGCGGAACACTTTCCAATTCCAGTGTGAGGGTTGATCTATTGGAAATCATGCATCATGGTCAGACCTGAAAAGGGTGTATAACACGGCGAGGACGCGCTAATCCACCGCGAGCAGACTGAGACAAATGCTCGGCGACGAGAAAGAATCAAATCAAGCAAAGTGGTGGCATAGCCGTATCGTGATTCGGACAGTAAGCACCGATAGTGGCCGACTACACGAAGGGTACAGAAATACAGCGCTCCTACACTCTTGCTTTCACGTCCAAAATCAACCCTGGCCTCACTTTTTCTCCTTCAATCTCCGAGATTGGGAGCATCATCCCCATGTTCGCCCTTCGTATCTCCATTCCCTTCGGTACTCGGAACTCAAAGCGTTCAATGAATCCATCAAGTAGAGCATGGATCTCCATTAACGCGAATCGGAATCCAACGCAGCCTTTAGGTCCACCACCTGTAGAGCACGTCAAGCTACAAACACAACACACTGGCAAGTAAGGTGGGGGACGCACTAAAGTTAAGAATGTTCCCAGTCATACCAACCGAAATGTCCCTCTGCAAATCATTTTCCTTAAGAAACCGAGCAGGATTCCACTCGTTGGCGTCAGGTCCCCATACGCTTTCGAGTCTACACCCTAGTTAGTGAAAACAAAGCAGCGGTGAAAAATATCAATACCGGTTATACGAAGCAATATCAATGATGATCCTCTGCCCTGGGATGACTGGGACCTCCGTAACCTCCTTACCTGACGATCCAATGACCGGAATCTCCAGCGGTATTGAATCGTACACAGCAGACTCTCGAATGAGAGTAGGTATTACTGGATGCAGCCTCAATGCTTCCTATACCTTCTATTTATATTTCGTGACAGTGGGCAACTAGAATCATACGTACCTTAACACAACAGCCCAACCACTCCAAGGATTCATAACTGCTGTCTGATCTTTCTTTAACCTCTTTGTACACTCTCTCCTGATCCTCTGGGTGGCAACTAAGCTCGTAAAGAGTCCATACAATCGAATACCCCGTTGTATGATGACCAGCGTGAATGAGCGTCGATATCTGCGAGAGCACTTCATCTTCAGTAAGTCGGTTTCGTGGATCCTCGGCACGGTTGGCTTTCACTAACTCATTTCCGTCAGAAACACAGCGATAATAAATATTGATCAGACCAAACACGCACCCAAGACGCTCAACACATCCCGGTCCTTCCCCGTAAGTAACAACTCTTCCGCCTCATTGTTCATCTCAAACAATAACCCACTCTCGTGTAATACCTCTCTTGCCTTCTCATTCGACACCTTCAGGTACCTCTTGGCAATCTCCTCTACCGCAGTCGGGAAATATCGATTCTGCCACGCTGAAAACCAGGATGGAATATATTGCAACATACACAGTGCAAGAACCTGAGCACGAGAAGGTAATGCACCACCGAGTTGGTCGAGGTCTTTGAGAACTTTGGTTAGTTCGTTCGGTTTGTTTTCGACAGCGCCGAAGTGGTAGTTGAACGAGCCTGCCAATAGAGAACGTTCGCTATGTATAAGCTGGGATAGGTTCAAAGACGCACTTTCGCCGATAATATCTAATGTCACTTTTTGAAGCCAAGGGATGACATCAAACTTGTCGACTCCTTTTGCTAATTCAGCGTTCCATTTCTCCGAAAGCTACCCATCAAATGCTCGATCAGTCCCTATAAAGGGAAGCAACATGCGCAATTCAAATACCTTTGCTACATGTCCTTCAAACAGCATCCCAAAACTCTTCAGATGGTTAATTGAAAATGCCGGACTCAACACCCTCCGATGTCTCCTATGCTCTTCCCCAACAGCCCAAAGCACTCCTCTTCCGAAGAGCAGCTCGAATATCCTCCTTATATCACGAGCCCCGGGGTACTCATTCACGTTGGCATGCAGGATATGGTGGATAGCACGAGGATCGGCTGTGACAAGTTTGGGTTGGCCGAAGGATCCAGGCTGGCGGTATGTTGGGCCAAAGGATTTAATCCAGCAGAAGGTGAGATCGCCGATGTGTTCTTCGTTCTGCAGGAGGTACTCGACACCTATTGTGGATGGGTCAATGACTTTGCACATCCACAATGAAATGTGGAATAATAACCGAGTAGGTAGCCTTCTCCCTCTGGACCGTTCAAAAAGTCAAGCCTTTTGTTTCTGTTGAGGAGGTACAGCAGAAGAAAAGATAACAAGGCAACGCCTGCAGCACCGATATCGACGTAAGTGAGACCCATAGTGGACGGAAGAAGGAAAGAATGACCATCACCAGAGCTATGTCCCCTTTTATTAGCGTAAGATCAGAAGGCTGTTAAGCCGAGTTACATATTTGAGCTATCTGCGAAAGCTCAGCGCTCATACCAGAAAGGGAACAAATCCCGCTCGGAGGAGAAAGTCCCTATATTAATGCAGCTTTTTACTGGCATTCGATATTTGGAGTATCTCATCCAGTATGCATGATTCACCCCATAAGGAAATTCAAATATCAGTGATAGTTTCGACTGTAACTGATATATCAGGTTTCTCCCCGTCGTTCCTCCGAGCGGTTCTTTTCTCTTTCCGGTGTGGCTCAAGTCGGCACAGACACGCGAAGCTGGGTGGTTCGAAAACACTCCATTCACCGCCGTGTCCTCGACTAATTTCATCATCAGAAGGCTTAGCTGTGAAGTATTGTTGATTAAACGAGAGTAGAGGGAACACGGTTGCCGCCATATTTATTCAAAACATGCAGTTGGTGGCGACGCAGACGGGAAGTCGAAGCCATATATGGGCTGGTAAAATCACTTATTTTATCATTCCTTCATCTCCCACCGCAGCACATTCACTCGAGCTTCCCGCGTCCGTGATATTCTACCTCAACTTGTTCTTCGATGCAGGCTGGAAACGGTACAAAGGCGACGGCCCGCCTCTATGTAGTTGTGTTATACTCCTACGGATGGTGCTTCCCGCGAGTTGATAGGGTTCTAGAGTTGGCAATTCTTATGGGGGGTATCAGCAATAGCCATTTCTAGGTACTTATGTGTAGTAATCTTTGAGCCAAGCTTTATATTAGATCGATATATACGAGTATATGCGCTCGTCAAGCTTGGTTATCTGGGAAATTAGATCAAAACCGACTCCGTTGTGCGTAACCGTATTTTACTCCTCTGATGAGCAATAGATGAACTCCCAGAGTCGTTAACAACGGACCTGCCTTCGTGACTATCACCTCGATCGTCACATCCACACCAATCAAGATAAAAACACTAGCTGTGCCCTTCAAATCGTACAGCTCTGCTCGTGTACGAGTCAACCTCCGTTCTCCAAGCCTCTGAGGAGCAAGTCCAACCGAATACTACCAGATCTTGCTGTGTAGTGGCTACCGTACCCATCGAACTGAGCAGGTGTACATCACCCAAAACCAGTGCAGGAGTTGCCACATCCGTACTAAACCTGACTCGGGATACGCAAACCGCTTGAAAGACGCTAGACCTGTTGATCCGCTGATGCGTAAAAAAGGATCTGGCCGTATATCCTGAGTGTTCAGGTATGGCAAAAGATTTTAAATGAGTGACATTAAAATGCTGTGTATCGCTTTGCGGTAGTTGATGATATCTACGGATAGCAAGGTGTGAGTACTTGATTTATTGTTATCGGGAAACTGCAATTGTCCACATCTTCGAGTCAGATTCTACCTTGCAATTACTTGATAAGCAGATGCGATACGGACACAGCCTGACAAGTGCGCCACAAACCGAAAAAATACTGCTCGGAGGAAAGATGAAGAGACGTCAGTAAGTGCCTGCCATGGAATGTCAAATATTGCACTAACGAAATGTACCATGGCAGCTAATTAGGTTCGAGGAATCAGCCTGAGCGAACATGATACTCAAGCCATCAACTCAAAGTCGCCGATATAGGCCATTTCTGTGATTAACCCCTATCGAGCGGAACGGTCTCGAATTCCAATGCCGGTGTGAGGGAAGCTCTACTGGCTGATTTATTAGACAGCATGCATCATGGTCAGACCCGGAAAGAATGCATACCTCCAGGGCGTACGGTGTACTCATCCTTATGAGATCCAACCAGGCTGACGCAAATGCTTCTCGGAGACGATAGGAAAGAATCAAGTCAAGCAAAGTAGTGGCGTAGCCCTATCGTGATCCGGACGGTAAAACGACACACCGATAGTTGCGGACTGCATTCAGGCAGGGTACATCAATACAGTGCACGACTCGTCCCTGAGGGGTTCAAAGCCAGGTATGCTCGGGAGTATGAGTGCCCTTAAACGATAATAAGAACCTTTTGGAATGCAAAATGTAAGTAAATAAAAATTAGAGTTATTCACTGAATTGGACACACTGGGAATTCGCAACTTACATCTATGCCCACTATGCTAAGCTAATGTGATAACCAACTACACCATGTGCCCATATCGGAGACCTGGAATAGAGGAATAACTCGATGTCTTGGATGATATACTATACTACAGAATATGGATCATCGTATCACTCGACTGAACCACGAATACAGACAAAACGACTTGCGAATATCAAGGCACAAAAAGTATCGTATGGAATTGGTATGATTCGACCCAGGCTCGAACTGGGACCTTCTGTTAACACTTCCCAGATAACGCACCGATGTTAGAGGGATGCGATAACCAACTAGGCCATCGAACCGGCGGACATTAGCCTGGCTCTGTAACGTCTAACCATTACTGGAGCCGAGGAAGCGATGGGAAGTATTACCCCATAGCCAGAAGGGGAAGACGGATGAGGAAGTGAGAGGTTCTCTTGTGTTCATGCGGAAACGAATAATGAACAGCCGCTCCAGGACATCGAGAGGAGGATCAGCCGGAAAGGAGTCGAAACACGGATAAGGGCAGGTAGCAAGGGGAGCCGTAAGTGAATAACCGACGTGGGTATAGCTTTGGGCACTGTTCTTTAAACGAATCAGTATATGCGAGGAGCCTAGGAAGTATAGCGCATCTGAGAGAAAACAACGTCCCCTTCAATACCTCGGTCAAAGTGAGTAACCGTAAAGCAGCGCCACTCAACCCGACGGCGGAGATGGTGATAGAGCGGGGTATCGTAGAAGTTGAAGGGACGTGGTATCGTCGTGAACGAAGCGCTCAGCTACCCTCAGCACTAACATTCACACTCCCCTCGCCGTTCCTCCTACACCCCTCAACAAAACAAACATCATAGCCAAACATCCTCTCCTTGACTCGTTTCCCAAACCTTCCACCCTGTTTGATATCGAGGAACTCGGATCATTTCGCAGTCATGTGTGCAGCATGGGCTAGGGTGTGGCTAGGGTATCCAGTGGGGCGATCGTAAAGGATGTCATAGGAAGGATTTGGGGATAGGAGGTCGCAGATTCAGGGGAAAGTTGCTGAGAAAACACCCAACAACGAGCCTCCTTAAAGGCCCCAGCTGCTGCTTGGTGCTCGTGCAAGGTGCAAGAAGATCCAATACGACGGTGAAGGAAGTGTGAGCGACCGTGGGTGGGCGGAAAGTGTCGTCGGAGTGGAGGTACAATCGTTCGGAAGGGTGAATGGCAGGAGATAGCTGAGGAGGCCTTGGGTGTGGTGAATGTCTACGAGAATGCCTGAACCTTGTCAGTACGACAAGAGAGAGCTAGGAACGATCCACGTACCCAGAAGCCCTAAAACACTGGCGTGAGAGTCACAGTCCTGCTATGCGTATCGTGGATCCTTCCTTCCCAGCAGGTACCGTACCTGGATCCAGAGAATAGAGAATAAGAGTTTGTATACTTTGGAGGAGCGGAAGACGTACATGAAAGCAGATTTTTATTCTATCTTTCCGAAGCGCTGGAGTCGAACAGGGCGGGAGATCTCCCAGGGATGCATGAATAATATTCGACCCAACAGTGGAAGGGGGCGTGAGCGACCGTAGGTGGGCTGAAGATGGCGGGGTGAGGAGGACGTGCTGATAGTAGCGGTAGGCGTAGCTTGGAATCAACTGGAAGGCTCTGTAACAGGAGAAGGCGGAGAAGACTCGAGGGAGGCGGGATGTTGTGAGCACGACAGGAGACCGGTGTTACCAACGATTCACGTACCCAGAAGCCCAAAGACACTGGCAGTCCTCCTATGCATACCATGTGTCCTGAATCCTTAGCATGATAATAAGTCGGCGGTCTTTGGGATACTGATCTTCATCGGAGGAAACGAACCTTTACAAGAGAGTGTAAGCGTTTGTACGCTTCGAAGGGGCGGATGACATACATGACTCCAGATTTCTCTTTGATCCATCTTACGCGCCGGTATCGAATGAGACAGAAGGTCTACGGAAAGTGCAAGCATGAGATTCGTCCACCTGAATTCGTTGGAGTCGTTCGAATATTGGATGTAGTCGCGTTGAATGCTGGGTGAGCTTGACGTCTGTTGACATCCAACAAGATAGATTCTAAGACTTTGCTACCACGATATTTCATGATTTAGCTTCGGATTTCAGTCCAAAAGGGTTCAGAGAACTTACTGTGGACAAACGGCGAGGACTGGGCTTGTCAACGATGGACGCGAAACAAGGACAGCTGTGACATGTCACAGTCACTCATCACTCTCCCTTGACATCGCATGACGTAACGCGCTTTGTAAACGTGCTCGTCAACCACGACAGTCTCTCTCATGGTCCTTGGGGTCACCAACTAATTGTTCAATATGTTGATGGATCATATGAAGAATAGTTGGGCTCTGAGGTCTGAGGCCTAGTAGTAGATCTGAAGGGCGGGTGTTTGACCAGAACATGAACTCATCGAAAACTGGAGGAATAAAACAAATCCAGCGCGACGTGTTCCCCATCATGTCTACTCTCTTTGATAGCGATACATACTGACGAGATTGAATAACATTGAACAGGGATATGTGATACGCACAGGGAAACTCTCGATGATCAGAAAGAATGCATAACACGTGCCGAGGGCATGTAATCCGTCCAGACAGAAGCAAAGGATGGTCTGTGACTTCTATCTCCTAATCACTATCTTAACGAGACACGATGTGTTGAATAATCTCTGATAGCAATACCTAGCTAGTACTTTACACGACATCCTAATTCATCCTATCCAAAGAGTCAAACATATTACACGCAAATGGATCATCCGAGGTTCAAACATGGGATCTTACTCAACTACTACATTCTCGCTTTCACGTCCAGAATCAACCCAGGGCTCACTTCTTCTCCGTCAATTTCCGGGATAGGGATCATCATCCCCATGTTTGCCCTTCGTATCTCCATTCCCTTCGGTACTCGGAACTCAAAGCGTTCAATGAGTCCACCAAGTAAAGCATGGATCTCCATTAACGCGAATCGGAATCCAACACACCCTTTAGGTCCACCACCTGTAGAGCACGTCAATCTACAAACACGAAATAGGGCAGGGTGGAGGACGCACTAAAGCTGAGAATGTTCCCAGTCATACCAACCGAAATCTCCCTCTGCAAATCATTCTCCTTAAGAAACCGAGCAGGATTCCACTCGTCAGCGTCAGGTCCCCATACGCTTTCGAGTCTACATCATAGTCAGCGGAATCAAAGCAGCGATGAAGAAGATCAATACCGATTGTACGAAGCAATATCAATGATAATCCTCTGCCCTGGTATGACTGGGACCTCCGTAACCTCCTGACCCGACGATCCAATGACCGGAATCTCCAACGGTATTGAATCATACATTGTAGACTCTCGAATGAGAGTAGATACTACCGGATGCAGCCTCAACGCTTCCTATACTTTGTTTTTTCCATGACACCAGAAAAGTAGAATCAGGCCTACCTTGACACAACAGCCCAACCATTCCAACGAATCATAACCGTTGTCTGATCTTGCTTTAATCTCTTTGTACACCTTCTCCTGATCCTCTGGGTGTTGACTAAGCTCGTAAATAATCCACACAATTGAATACGCCGTCGTATGATGACCGGCTTGAATCAGCGTTGACATCTGCGCAAGCACTTCATCTTTGGTAAGTCGTTTTCGTGGATCCTCAGCACGGTTGGCTTTGACTGATTACATTTCCATCAGAGTTATTCCACAGTAATGAATCATTGAATATTGATGAACACGCACCCAGGACACTCAACACATCCTGCTCTTTCCCTGTAAGCAATGACTCTTCCGCTTCACTGTTCACCTCAAATGATAGGCCATTTTCATGCATGAATTCTCTTGCTTTCTCATTTGACACCTCCAGGTACCTCTTTGCAATCTTCTCTACCGCCGTCGGGAAATAACGATTCTGCCACGCTGAAAGCCAGGATGGAATATATTGCAACATACAGAATGCAAGAACCTGAGCACGAGAAGGTAATGCACCACCGAGTTGATCGAGGTCCTTGAGTGCTTTGGTCAGCTCGTTCGGCTTATTTTCGACAGCGCCGAAGTGGTAGTTGAACGAGCCTGCCAATTGATAAGGTTGGCTATGAGCAAACTTAGATAGACTCAAAGACGCACTTTCGCCGATGATATCTAACGTCACCTTTTGTATCCATGGGATAACATCAAACATGACCACTCCCTTTGCTAATTCAGCGTTCCATTTCTCCGAAAGCTACGCGTGAAATGCTTGATCAGCGCCTATCAAGGGAAGCAACGGGCGAGATTCCGATGACTTCGAACAATGCGCATACCTTCGCTACATGCCCCTCAAGTAGCATCCCAAAACTCTTCAGATGGGTAATCGAAAACGCTGGACTCAAAACCCTCCGATGTCTTCTGTGCTCTTCCCCAACAGCCCAAAGCACTCCTCTTCCGAAAAGTAGCTCGAATATCCTCCTGAAATCACGAGCTTGGGGGTACTCATTCACGTTGGCATGCAGGATATGGTGGACAGCACGAGGATCGGCTGTAACGAGTTTGGGTTGGCCGAAGGATCCAGGCTGGCGGTATGTTGGGCCAAAGGATTTAATCCAGCAGAAGGTAAGATCACCGATGTGTTCTTCGTTCTGTAGGAGGTACTCGATACCTATTGTAATGGGTCAGTGACCTCACGCATCCACAATGCAAAATAAAACAATAACCGAGTAGGTAGCCTTCTCCCTTTGGACCGTTCAAAAAGTCAAGCCTTTTCTGTCTGTTGAGGATGTACAGCAGAAGAAAAGATACCAGAGCAACCCATACAGCAGTGATGTCGACGTAAGTGAGACACATAGTGGATTGAAGTTGAAGGAAATAATCACCATCATTAGGACTCCCTTTTATTCGCGGAGGATTAGAAGGCTGTTGAGTCCAGTTACCTAATTAAGTTATCTGCGGAAGCTCAGCGCACACAACAGAAAGGGACACAATCCCGTCTTTCCTCCAACCGGCATTTTTCCCTTGTCCAGTGTGGCGACTCAGGCAGGCACAGAACCGTGACACGCGAAGCTGGACAGATTGACAACACTTCATTCATCACTGTGACCTCTAATTAAACCATATACGAGCCTCACTTATCTTATCGTTTCTTTGTTTCTTACCACAGCACATTTACTCCAAACTCGGGGTTTCCGCGTGCGTGATATTCCATGTACCTTCTCTCGTTCTTTGGTGCAGAATAAAAACGGTACAAAGGCAGCGGCCTGGCTCTATGTAGATGTGTTGTACTCCTACGGGTAGTGCTTCCCGCCAGTTGGTAGTATTCCTGGAGCGGCAATTCCTGTGGGGGTATCAACGATAGCCATCTCCAGGTATCTCATAGGTAGTGATCTCGGAGCCGGATTTGAACTAGATTGATGTATATATATGCGCTCATCAAGTTAGGTTATCTTCGGAAGTAGGTCAAACCCATCTCCGTTGAGAGTAGCTATATTTGGCACCTCTGATCGGCAATACATGAACTCCCGGAAGCACCTCCGACGGACCTGTCTTTGTGCCTATCACCTCAATCATCCGGGATGTCCTTTCAAATCCTACAGCTCTGCTTGTGCACGAGTCAACATTGGCCCTTCCGTGTACTGTGCCCATCGAGCTGAACAGGTGTATATCAATATTGTACATCACCCGAAACCAGTGCACGGATCGCCACACTGTTGCTGTAGAGGTCTGAATCCAACTCGGCAAAAGACGCGAGAGCTGTTGATCCATCGAGGTGCAGAAAAGGATTCGGAAACAACGTATATCCTGAGTGTTCCAGTATGGCGAAGGACTCTGGCTGAGCGGCTGTGGAGTGCATTTGTGTCGCTTTTTGGACTTTGGAGTAGTTGATGGGACCGTTGACGGATAGAAAGGTGCGAGTACTGGAGTTATTGGGGAACTGTAACTGACCAGGGCTCCGGACCGGAATCTACCTTGCAATCGATTGACAGACCGATACACGGGCCCACGCCACAAACCGAAAGAACGTCAACAAGTGCCGAAACTGTACCTGCCATGGGATGTCAAATTTCGTACCAACGAGATGAATCATGGCAAATCAATCTGGTTTTATGAATCAGCCTGAGCTGATACTCAAAATATCGACTCGCGGCAAAAACGTTAACCGATATAGGCCATTGCTGTACTCGATTCCTTTGAACGGATGGTTTGAGGGAAGCTATGCAGCCTGATCTATTTGACATAATGCATCATGGTCAGACCCGAAACGAGTGCATAACGTGTTGCGGTCATGTACTCATCCCTCTGAGATCCGGCCAGAATGCTAAGTGGATGTGATATCATGTGCCCGTATACTTTGACAGCTGTACAAACCCATCGATATCAGGATCTAAGGGAACAAGGGAAACATGGAATAGAGCCAAATCTTATACAGTACTATAAGTAACAACATATCAACCCTGATATCACTCGACTGAACAGCGAATCCAGGAAAATAGAGGTGTGAACACGAAAAAGATGAACAAGCAGTAATGATTCGACCCAGGGCTCGAACTGGGAACCTTCTGTGTAAGGGTATTGAGAAAAGGCCTTATGTTGGACAGATCGATAACCAACTACGCCATCGAACCGTTGACCAAGTCAATCCAAACATCATTGGATCGAAGGAAGTAATGAAGTATAGGTCATAGGCAGAAGGGGAAGGCGAATGAGGAAGAGAGAGGCATTGTGCATTGTGTTCATGCGTATCGGGCCAGAAATGGAAAAAGAGTCGGAAAGGAGTCGAAACACGAGCGCGGGGAGGTAGTAAAGGGGTGGTATGTGAATTATCGACGTAGTAGCTTGGGGCACGTTCTATAAAACGAGTCAGAATAAGGGAAGAGCCTCAGAAGTATAACGCACCCGAGAGCAAACAACATCCCCGTCAATGTTCAAATTCGGTGCTCGTGAAAACTTGAAAGTTGCAGAGTTACTTTCCCCGATGGTAAAGGGGAGTGTGAGTGGGAGAAAAGTGTATTAGGAGCTAGAGGGATCGACAGGTTGTCGTAGACTCAGCGCTCCCCTCTTCTCCCTTAGTACTACCATCCCCACACTCTCGTTTCCCAAACCGAATCCACGTCTATGAAACGGGGTAACCGTAAAAGATGCATTAGGAGGGGTGTGTGAAGAGGATTCGATCCTCAGAGGAAAGCTGTTGAGATCAATCGATGTGCCTTTAAACGTCGTTCAAGCCCCAAATTGCAGCCTGGTGGTCGTTAAAGGTTAACATTCGGACCAACGATGGAAGAGAGCCGTGAGCTACCGTAGGTGGCGGAAGATGACAGGGTGAGCAGTTCGTGCTGATAGTAGATGTAGGCGTAGCTTGAAATCGATTGAAAGGCTTTATGCCAGGAGAAAGCGGAGAAGACATGCGGGAATGTTTGCTGTCTGCGGAGGAGTTGAGATCTTGTGAGCACGATAGGAAACTGGAGCTAGCAATGATTCACGTACCCAGAAGCCCAAAAACACTGCGTATCATGTATCCTTACTTCCTATCGTGTCACACGGTAGCATGTGTTTATCGTTGTCGGGGGAAATGGGCCTGTAGCCAGAGGATAGAGTATAAGAGTTTGTAGGTGTGGTACGGGAAGGAAGACGTGCATGTACGAGAGAGTGGGTTTGTCCACATGAATTCGTTGGAGTCGTTTATGGGCAAGACTAAGGCTGGTGAGCTTGACGTCTGTTGAGATCCGACGGGATAAACTCTGTGGCCATACTAGTATTATGTTTGATGTTTTAGTTCCGTCTTTCATTTGGGAAATTTTAGAGGACTCACTATGGATCAACGACGAGGATTGGGCTTGTGAACGATGGACGCGAAACGATGAGGACAGCTGTGACATGTCACGTCACTCGTCACTCTTCTCACATCGCATGACGTAACGCGCTTTGCAAACTTGCTCTTCGACCCTGACTTGATCCCGACTTGATCCCGACTTGACCCCGACGGTCTCTCTACTCTCTCTGCGATAGCGATACATACTGAGGGAGTCTAGGTAGCTCTTGCTATTACTCTTCACCACATCCCTGTTTAACACATCCAGTGAGTCAAACATATTACACTCGAATGGAATCTCATCCGAAGATAAGAACTTGTCTGACATATCTTATCTTACATCTACGAGGTCTTCCAGCCTCGGCATTCACGCAATAGAATGATTCACGCCTGCAATATCCACACGAGATACTAATCTCAGACTGCACATCAGGAAAAACCCAAAACCGTAATTTGAGAAAATTTGAGATAACCGAGCTAAAAACGTAATTGCAATGAATTTCACAGATTTTCTTCCAATTTTAGACCGAACATTCTGGCAGGTTCGTAATTTGGTTGAAATATCTATGAATTATCTGCAATTATCTGATGAGCACGACAGACCTAGTCATGCAGTAAAAAGAGAGCGCACCTCTACTCTACACCTTACTTGCACCATATAGGAGGCCTGGTGAAGGGACATAGAAAGGAACGGCCAGTTATCGCGCGGTAGTTCTCGTCAGAAAATGGTAGGACCAATGACGTCACTGAGAGAATGTTCGGTGACATTCGGATAACGTAAGGTCACTGTCTATATAACGGCCCAGTCCCCGCCGGTACCCATTGTTGCTCGCGCGTAAGTACTTCAAACTTTGGGCTTCGAGTTCAAGACTTGACGGTAAGACTCTATGCCAATTCCTATTCCCAATATAAGTACTTAGGTGAGTAAGCTTATTACACCTTGTGCTATACAGTATACTAACGCTGTGAGTAAAGTCAGCAACACCTCAGGTCTCCGGACAACAACAGTCCTTTGCGTAACACATAGGCATGGTACCGTACACATTCTAGTAGATTGTACATTTGTAGTCTTGTAGATAGTACATATAATATGGAAATGGATTCAGTATACATGTAGTGATCACGACTGAGACTATCCGTTTTATGCATACAGTAGTAACAAGTAACCTCACGCTAATCGACAGAAATCAACTTGAAATCAACACATAATTGGCACTTTTTCGTCAAAATTAGCGATAATTTTTGGAGGGGGCTATCGAATTTGGATAATCCTCTAACCGGAGAAATTTCGAGAAATTAGCACATTTTTTGTGTTATTTCTACATATTTCTCATAATTAGCGTTTTGGGTTTTCCCTGATGCATTCTCCCACGCGGCCTTTGACGTGTAACACCTTTTGACATTCCGGCTGCCGGACTTGGCATACGAAGCATCTCTATTCACGTACGTTGAAGCTTCGTACGGCTCACTGACGATGGAGACCTTGCAGAACTCGTTCAACGGCATGATTTAAGCCACAAAAAGAATCAATGGTACGATGTCGCACTCGGCGATCTCGTTGCGCTGACCTCATATCCTCTTAGATTATCAAAATCCGTAGAGATTTAAAAAAGAAACCTCACTGGCACGCTTTTGCTCACGCTCACAATGGATATCACAACTCTCAATCTCAGTACCATTGGGATCGCCTTCTCTGTCTTCATTCTTTTCTATCTCCACAAACGACGCCAGACACTAGACTCTCTGAACGGCCCAAGAGGAGAGGGCTACATACTCGGTACGCTTTACCACTTAATCTTCGCCAACTCCTTCTAAACGACCTCCTTAGGTGTCGAACACCTCCTACGTACTCAATCGCAAGTCGGTGACCTCACCTTTGCCTGGCTCAAACACTACGGTCCAACATACCGTATCCCCGGGTGCTTCGGCCAAACTATGCTAGTCACCGCCGACCCACGAGCCATCCATCACGTTCTCCACGCCAACGTCAACGTATACCCCGAAGCTCGAGACATCCGGAGATTGTTCGAGTTGACTTTTGGTCGTCCTCTGGGCTGTAGGCGATGAACATCGTAAACAGAGGAGAGTGTTGAGTCCTGCGTTTTCGATTAATCATATGAAGAGTTTTGTCGAGATGTTTGAGGCGCATGTGACACAGGTTTTGTTTCTCTGCTACTCGTCTCGCAAGCGTTTTCGAGCTGACTTTTATCTACAGCTCGCGAAGAAATGGTACGCCGAGATAGACAAAGGCACTAAGACCCTCGATGTCATTCCGTGGTTCCATAAAGTAACCTTGGACGTGATTGGTGAAAGTAAGCGATCCGACCGCTTTTCTGAGGACTTTCAAGCTTACACTCCAAAAGGTTCATTCAACTACCGCTTTGATTCTCTCGAGAACAAGCCCAATGAGATTCTAAAGACCTTGAACGCCCTCGAGTAAGTTCATCCAATGTCCTCCTTTAGCACATTGCTGAACCAACATCTCCAGTAACTTCGGAATGTCAGTCTCCCGTTCCCAGATCATCGTCCAATCGCTTCTTCGCTACATTCCCTCATGGTTCTACACCTTCCAACACAAATTCTTCCCGAGTGCTATCGAGGAAATCGCTACCAGGTATCTTCGAGTGTCAAACGAGAAGGCTCGGGAAGTTATGCGTGTGAACGGATTGTCATTTGATGGTGAAAATCAAGGAACGGGGAAGGAGAAGGACGTGCTAAGCGTTTTGGGTAATGTCCTTCGCCTAATCATCGTCAAAAATCAGCCATTCTGACTATATCGTCTTTACAGTCAAAGCAAATCAAGCAGAAGACCCCCGAAAGCGACTCACCGAAGGAGAGGTGTTATCCCAGATATCTACTTTGATTCAAGCTGGGCATCATACGACCGGATACTCTCTTTCCTGGGTCCTCTACGAGATGAGTCGACACCCTGAAGATCAGGAGAAGGTGTTTCAAGAGATCAAGGCACTAAGTGGCGCGCAGCAGGATAACGCATTGAAGTACGAGGGGATGGAGTGGCTGACTTGCTGTGTCAAGGTTTTTCTTCACGCTTCGATCGTACCATTGTAGAGAGATACCTAAACTGAAGACTCTACTTTACAGGAAGGGTTGAGATTACACCCAGTACTACCAACCCTATCTCGAGAGGCAGCAGTTAACGATATTATCCCTCTCGAGGTACCTGTCGTAGGCGCGTCCGGGCAAGTGCTCACCAAGGTTCCGGTATCCAAAGGCCAAAGAGTCATCATCGATATTGCTGGGTATAATCGGTAACAGCCTTTTTCCCCTCATTTCCCAGAGTTTTGAGTCTACTGAACTATTCACTGTATATAGGTTGGAAAGGGTATGGGGCCACGACGCGAACGAATGGAACCCTTCTAGGTTTATGAAACAGGACGCCGCCAACCCAGAGCGAGATGTCTCGGTGGGTATGACAGGGAATATTCTGAGCTTTAGTACGTTCTGATTCGCAGTTTTGTATTCTACCCGCTGAATTAGAGTGCTGCTCCGCAGGTGGAGGTCCCAAAGGATGCATCGGTTTCCGATTTGCTTTGATGGAGATTCACGCGTTGCTCGCTGGGCTTATTGAGCGCTTCGAGTTTAGGTTGCCTAAAGGTGTAGATATTAAGAGAGGAAATACGGCATTGATGATTCCTCAGGTCAAGGGGAGAGAGGAGAATGGCGCTGGGCTAGTGTTGGAGGTGAAAGCGAGGTGTAGTTAGGATGTAGATGTGCGTCGAGGAATGATTTATGATTGATTTACCGAATATCAAGGTTTATATATGCTGCCTGCAAATTCATGAATCCGATTTATAG